ATTACAAGTAAATTATACGTAAGTACAACTTATTAAAACTTCTTGTTTGAATTCGTGTAACTAACTGCAGATAAACATAATCAGACAGAGGATAAACATCTCATTTAAATATAAATAACTAAAAATATAATTAGGATAATGATTAACTTCTAACAAAATACTTAATTATCATCAATATAAAAAAATTATATTATTAAACCAAAAATAAAACAATGAATTACAAAAGTACACAAGAAAACGAGAAATTTTAAATGGTTAGTTTGGTATTAATATCAATAATTTTTTTCAATTTTTTATTGTATCTTTATATTTATATTTTATTCAAAAATAAAAACATTATTATTTTTTCAAAATAACATAAAACCGTATTATAACATCGACTGAGACAAATAAAGAAATAAAACGAACATTAAAATCGAGATTTATCTCGCTGCATTGTGCGAGTACCCTTCTAGTGTATGTGTGTGTGTGTGTGTATATATATATATATATTGTATTTAATAAAGCTAACAGTTTCAAACAAAACATTATTTTTATTTGGATCTTAGGGTCCGTTTGGTTTGCATGATTGATTTTTAGAGATTTGGATTTTTATGAAGGGATTTGGATTGGAATATAATTGAAATCATTTGTGTGTTTGGTTTGATAGGATTTAGAACGAAATTGGACTTCATTATTTATAATTGTTTTTAGTATTTTTTAAAATCTTATTGCATACAATCATAGGAAATCCCAAACACTCCCTAAAGATTTCAAAATCCCATATTTGAAGGATTTCAATTAAATCAAAGGATTTTAAATCGGGACAATCCAACAAACCAAATATGGAATTGAAATGGATTTGAAATGCAAATCCCCAAAATCCACTCCATTCCTTCGAATCAAATAGAACCTTAGGGGGCGTTTGGTTCGTAAAATGAAATTCGATGGAATTGAAATTCATCAAATGAATTTAACTTTTAGGGAATGGAATGGAATCTGATGGAATTTGACCATGCCCTGTAATTGCATTTGGTTGCTTGGAATTGAATTAGGGAAGAAATCTATAAAAAAGGAATTAAAATCCTAACATATTGTCATAGTCTTATTCCATAAACCAAACACTTTATTTAAAATTTGGTCAAAAGATTGAACATTCTCATTATCCAAACAACCCCTTAGGCTTGTCAAGAGAAGGATATGTCTTGGGTATCGTTACTAGTGGCTTCATCCAATCTGTTTGAAGAGAGGAATAAAATTAAATTGAACTATAAATAAACGAAATGTTCTTATGGTAATTGGGCTCCTCAAAATTGTGCAAAATATTTCGACAAGCGTCAACTTTTAATTGGTTGTTTTTTTTTCTTTTTCTATAAAAGCATAATTGATTAAAAACCACACTTTATTTTTATTTAAAAACAATAAAATAAATTCATGATTTGTAATAATCTTTGAATAGAACCCAATCTATATACAAATTGATTATTAAGATTTTAATATATAATATTTTTTATTGGAAATAAATTATTAAATAGATAAATTTTTTAAAAGAAATTTTAGGTTGGGTCGGATCACTAATATTGATTTAAACAGGAGTTGACGTTGAGTAATTGGAAGATGTATAAAATAATTCTTTAATCAATGAAGGTTTTTATAAAAATCTTATTTTCTTTTAAGTGAAATAGAAAAATACTTGTACAATGCAGTAAGATACATATCAATCTTTATGTTTCGTTTATTTTTATCTCTATCGATGTTAGAATACCATTTTATGTGGTTTTAAGAAAGCGATAATGTTTTCATTTTTGAATAAAATATAAATTTGAACATATCATAAAAATTTGAAAAATAACATAATATAATTTTTGGTTTAATAATATTTTTTTTAAGTTTAATAACGGAGCAATTTATTTTTGGTATAATAACATAATTTTTTTATAAAGATAATAACTAAGTATTCTGTTAGAACTCAATGATTATCCTAATTATATTTTAAATTTTTTATAATTAAAATGAGATGTTTATCATGTATTTAATCATGTTTATCTGCAGTTAGCTATACGAATTCAAACATAAAGCTTTAATAAGTTGTAGTTACGCACAATCTACTTGTAATCTTGAATTCTAAGTAATATGCATCAACAAACAGTATTTTATGCATAAAAAAATATTTTTAAAAGTTTTTATCATGTGTTTTTATAATATAGTATAGATAGTGTATCTTATACAAGAATCAACATTACAGAGACTTGTAAGAAATTCACCCTCTATGAGTTCTTATACAAACAACATTGTAGAAAATTCTCATAAAAACCTTAGCTT